TGAAAAAAAATCAATCTTTGTATTTGGGGTGCAGCATACTGTGGTCCCATTATTCACAACTGGCACAACTTGCACAATTGTGAAAAAAGTGTTTCAGCGATAATACAATATTTAAAATAAGTCATAAGTTCATGAATAAAAAATATAGGCTTGAAAAGTAGAATAGAAATAGGCTAAAAGTTAAACGATCTCGAAAGTCAGAGAGATCTCCCAAAACCAGACAAAACTCTCTCAAAAGGAAACTTAGAGGTTGGGCAGATCCAACCGTATCTTTCCATTGCTTCTACCAATTAATGGTGAAATGTAAGTCAGGCTGATTTGGGTAATATTTATTTAAACAATTTGAAACATTAACTAGCTTATTTCTAACTAGTGCATATAGGATTAAAGGCAACAAAACAGAATATAAAAATGAAACCTAAATTCATTATCATCATCCATAAAATATTTCAGTAAATACAGCACATCTAATTTTGATTTTTGTAAAGTACAACAAACACAGAAGAAATGGTTCTAAAGCATTACAATAATTTCCTTGCTTAACTCCAAATTGTTAAGAACAAAATCTAAATTTGATATTTTCGTTATGACTAATAATAATAGGTTTTCAATTCCCGAAATCCCATTATTGCCTTAATGTGAGATAAATGGATATTAATTTAAGTGAGCCTGATTGATTCAAGACACCAACATTTGAAAAAAAAAAGAGTTAGCAAAAAAGTTAAAGTAGTGCAGGCTCTGACATTTATCATTTCCTTGGACTTGTCTATATATCAAAAATAGAAAATAAAAAAGGTCTGATCACGTATCTAAAACTGACAATGCTTGTTATTTTCATACTGTTAGTTAGTTTATTTTATTGATTAGCCCATAGGCCATATCAAAGTGCAGAGTTCCAAACACAAATTATTACTAAAATCTGATAAAACAATGTAAAATGGAATTGGAATAAAATACAACTTAAAATGAAATTGAAGTAAAATACAATAAATTAATATATAGATAATAAAATAAAATATTTCAGTATCATCTCTACAATCTACCCCATCAGTCCCATATATGCTAATCTCAACTAAACCATATTGCTCAAGTACTGCGCCATATTATATATTTATTTATTTATATTTATTTATTTAATTTACCAATCCAGAGCTACTCAGTCTTGCAAGGGTTTAGTTTCAGCCCGTAGCTCTCTATCCAGCCCCTAACAGCCTCTAGGCACTGCAAGAGGGAGGACACAGCATCATTTAACTCACCACGGGCAGAAGCATACAGCTGAGAATCATCAGCTCTGGAGCTGCCATGTGACCACTTCTCAACAACCTTCTCCAAAAAGGGAAGATTGGAGACAGGTCAGAAATTATCCAACTGTGTGGAATCGAGTGATGGCTTTTTAAGAAGAGAACAGACCATAGCCCCCTTAAAGTGCTGGGGTATTGCTCCCTCTTGAGGGAAGCATTAACCAGAGTCCACCCGCCTGTATTAAACGTTGTTTTCAAATTCTGGCCGCACATAAGATAAGTTGTTTTGATATGGGGCTTCCAATGGATCAATCATTTAGTATATAGACCAAGGTTGCCTTATAGAGGCAACAATCAAATAGATTTTAGACACTGCATGAATTGTATAAATCCTCAATTAAGCTCTAACAGCTACAGCATATATCCTTAGATCTACACCCAAAATACATCTCGGCTGCTGGAACTGTGTTTGTTCTAATACTGTAGTAGAATATAGAGCCCAAACCTCTTCTCCATACAAGAGCATGGGGGTAACCTTCGCTTTATAGACTATAATTAATGGGGCTAGAGAGCCTGAGTAACTATGATTCTTTAATTTAAGCAGTAAATTCAAACAAGCTTTTGCTTTAAGTGTACTCTGCTGATGATGGCAAACCCAAGATCCAGTCTTGCAAAAAGTTACACCTAAATATACAAAGGTGTTAACCGGTTCAATTGGTTCACCATCTAATTGCCACCCATGTCTCTGATGATGTTTTCCAGACATCATAATTTTTGATTCAGATTTACTAATAGTTAGACAGTTATTTCAGCAATAGGAGCTAAATCTTCTTAACAGCCTAATAATAAGGGCGATCTGGCTGTGACATCTGTCATCCCATTGATCGACAGAGTTGATTCAGCTTGTTGTTTTGTTGTATTCAATGAATAGGTGCACTGATTTAAATATGAACATTTATATCTACATTTATTTGTCTAGGTGAAGATAGGGTATATATTCTAAAAATAACTTAGCATTCAAAGAGGTTTGTTTCATTGATACAACGAGTAATGTAAAATAAGATAGCTGACTATACTAAGCTTCTCTCAGAATATCTTGCTTAGTATTGTAGCATAGATAAGTGGATAAATTACTAGACCAATTTTGTTTTATAGAATGGCATTTAGATGATCTGTTCATGTAATCTGAATCCAAAAAATAGCAGCTCTTACCTCCATTATCTTTTAGGTGTAGAGCTATCTTGGTATCATCTAGAAAAAGAAATTCAAAGCTATTAGAGAAAGGAATTTCATCTAAACATCTAATGCTATGTTTATATAGCATTTTACATTTATTTATAGCAGTGTGCCGATACTGGAAATAATTGATCCACAATCAGTGGATTATATGTTTAAAATGATTTTATACAAATGTGACACTCTTGAATAAGAGTTGGAAGAGTAGTCCTATGAATCATCGAGGGATTTAAAAAAGGTTTCTATAGCAATTCATGGTTGCATTAAAGATCTGCATAAGTTAAACTGTTAACTATTATACAAAATTTTTAGAGCTGATCTTATGCTGTTTCAAAGTCATTGGTGAGATTTATCTTTAAAACTGCCATATCAAAGTTTTCTAAACTATACTATAGCAATAAAAGGCAATATTAAAAATGGGTTTAGGTAAACATGATGAGCTAAGCTGATGTGGAGAATGTTTTCGTTTTCTCTTTTTTGATTGAGAAGAGGAAAGTCAAGACAACAATGTCTGAAGAAATTTACCAATCCTAAACATTGCTGATTATTCAGTTGGAATAATTTATTTGGTTTGATTCTGAGCTGGTCACAAACAAGCACATTGGGCAACTGCTTGAAGAGGATTGTTTGTTCAACCACATACCATGTAATATAGCAATCAAAGGTAGGCTATACAGTTTAGAAAGCTAAAAATAAAATTATTTATAGTAGTAATAGCTTTGATCATGAATGGCCTTTGAGTTGAGACATTTTAGATACATAAATTTAAGCTGTTCCTGTCCAGTGAAGTCTGAAGAGGAAGATCATCCCTGGCATTGGGGGTCATGAAGTTTTTAGAAATGTAAATCTCCTAGGATTTTTTTAATGAGGGGTTTGGCTGGGGCATAATATTGTAGTAAAAAAAAATTTTTTTGTGGAAATTCTGTTTTATGTTGTTTTCTGGTGCCGGAACAGCACACTTACTTTGAGGTTTCGCTAGCAGAATACAGGGGCTTGAAATTGATGTGATTTTGCTAAGGTGTGTGTGTTTCATAAGAGCCTTTATTTTCTTGATGCTTTTTACATGTGAAACTTTGTAACTGGATAGGAAGAACGCCCTGTGTTACTGAGACTATTTGGTGGCACATCATGAAATAGCAGTCAGCAATGAATGGTAGAACATCACCAAAGTCCTGATGACTCAGTGATAATAATGCAAAATTGCAGGCTAACTGCCCACAACCAGGAATTTGATTGTGAGGAGCTCAAGGTTGACTCAGCCTTCCAAACTTCCAAGTTCAGTAAAATAAGGAACCAGACTGTTGAGGGAAATATGCCGATGTTGTAAACCACCCAGAGAATGTTGTAAAGCACTATGGGAAATATAACGATATCTATATGCATGTCTAAGTGCTATTGCTATTGTTATAACACTGAAAAGAGGAGCCACTGTTCGACTGGATCAACACACTTCAAATGTACATTCCTTTCTCTCCTCAAGAAAGGAATACGTTTGCTTTAAGACAAGTGAAGAACAACTGGCTTGCAGCCCACCTAAGCATAGTGAGAGGCATTGCTTCAAGGTGCTGTATATGTTTGAATCACTTATGATTTGGTTTTGGACGGCATATGCAAGTCTGATTATGGATGGAGTGGGAATACAGGCAACAGCAGCCAGGCAAAAATACTTTTTACTGCCTAAGACTAAATTCACTGTAGTTAATACCATTCAAGATATTCTAATCCATGAGGCAGAAAATCCTACAAATATCCTTCACTTTTCATATGGGGAAAATTAGAATAGAAATGAAGCCAGCAATTAATTATTTGCTACATTTTCCTGCATGGTAGGGCCCAGCTGAGCCAAGCAAGGATTTTGAGAAACAGGGTGTATGCCAGCGTTGAATTGTATCCCCAACACTTTCTAAGTAATAGTAATACTGGGTAGAAAAGCGGATTAGATATTTACTATAATGCTCTAATCTTGGATTACACTATCTGGGATGGCTGTAATCATAATGTAGGGAAGAAGGAAATAGTACCATCAGAATAGCAATAAGGGAAATAACAAAAATATGAACAAGCAAAAGGAAGCAGAGGCTTTTTTCTTAAACTCTAGGTGATAGTTTGCACTCCTGGAACTATTTCTTTTGCTGCAAAAATTTCTGGAATGACAAACTGGAACTGTTTCGTGCAGTATATGTGCAGTGCAAAACAATTGGTAGAACTAATTCAGATGTGAGCTTTAGAACATCTTTTCATGTTCCACAGGAGCAGTATTTATCTAATGTACTAACTTTATGATCTTTATCTGATCTTCAGACATCAGGATCATTTGATTCCACTACATAGGCAACCATTTATATCATTTTCCACACTGTGATACTTCCAGCTTTCTGCTATTACTTTGTTCACTAAGAACTAGTATTATAGAAATAAAGCTCAAAAGCTTATGTTGACAGAGCTTAAACTTTTCTTTCAGGTTCTTACACTCAAAAATAGTCCTTTGCATTAGGAGACTTCTATTTGTGTTATCTTTGCAGGATTGAAAAGCTTAAGGTTTCTATGTAGCTGAAATTCTGTTGAAAAGTTTTACAATAACTAACTACATCATAACTATACAATGTCTTGCAATATACAAGTAAAACAGAATTTCTATTTTACTGAATTATCATTGACAATTCAAAATTAAAATTTTTTAATACAGACAGTCCTCAACTTATAGCTGCAATTGAGCCCAAATTTTTCACTGTTAAGCCAGACAGTTGTTATTTACATTTTGCTCCATTTTATAATTTTTCTTGCACTGTTGCCAAATGAATCACTGTAGTTGTTAAGTTAGTAATATAGTTAAATGAATCTGGCTTCCCAATAGATTTTGCTTGTCAAAAGATTGCAAAAGTGACCATATGATTCCAGGACACTGTAACCTTCATAAACACATACCAGTTGCTAAGTGTCCAAATTCTGATCACATGACTACTTTTTTCAGTGCTATTGCAATTTTTAACAGTCAGTAAATAAATTATTTAAGTTGAGGACTACCTGTACACTCTTCTCACAAAGATGTAGAGTGGAAAAAAACCTAATACCCGACTAGATAGTTAATACACTGTGTTAATTACCACCTCATGGATATACCATTGATTTTTGAACTGAAGCCAAAAAGTTATATTTAAATTAGTACATGTCAAATAAATATGCTGAGTTTTATAAAAAAAACCAAAACAATAGACAAGAGTATATACAACAGTTTGCACATCATGGAAATTGTAATGGCAGATCTTCTATGTTTTTTAAAAAACATTACACAATTTTTCAAGTACCAATTCATGCTATCCATTTTCTACAGTAGTTTACATTTTCATCATCCCACCCTCTGCGCTTTCTTGTATATTTCTCTATTCATAAATATTTATACACAATTTCTGCAGGTCACTTCTCGATATCTACTTTTTATATGCTGATTCTTGTACTTTGTGCATGTTATTTAGGTTAGTTATTTTTAAAACATCCTTCTTGCCAGTTTGTAAACAATATCAACACCATCACATTAATAAAAGAGATCTTTCATTCTAAATATTGCACACTTCTACAAGATACTGATTTAATATTAAACATGTCAGGAAAACACTGCATACTACCTGTAACTGACACAGTCTTTTCACACCAGCACTTAATACATTTGGAAAATATACATCCAAAAACAGTACATTCCACACGTAATTCAAACAGTCCTCTTACACAAGCACTTAACACATTTGGGAAATACATGGCAAAATACTCAACTTTTTATGAAAGCTAATAATCTCCAACAGTATTTTTGACCACTAAAGATGTTAAAAAAACTTCAAAAAAATAAAAGTTTCAATGTAGAAGATCTCAATGATTCCAAATAACTGGTTTTAAAATATTGAGTTAACATTTAAATAACCCAGAAAGTATTTTAACTTTATGACCCCATTTATGCTGCTTAATTATACCGAAAGTCAACTTCAACCCAAAACAGAATTAGTTTTAAACTTAATTATTATAAATTATAGAAAGATTTTGTTTATAGTAGTGATAGGGAGTTTTGGACCATGGTCTTTGGTACAAATCTTTGGTAATTGCATTACTGAAGGACTATATCTCCTGAATAGATAAATTTCATATGATAGAATTATGGTGCAAATTTTAAACATTGCTGATAACATATTCGACTCTAGTATCTTACCTTCCGTGGGTAGACTAGTTGGCAGATGTGATATAATGGCTCCTTTGGTAGTTGTTAAAACTCTGTGTCTCGTTGTGGTTTGCTGTAGTGCAGTTGTGATATGAAGAGGCGTTTGATTTGTGTCTGTGTTCTCACAAATCTTATTTTTTGACTGCATAAGAAAAATAATATGAAGAAAGGAAATAATTGATTCTGAGTTGAAGTCATTTGTCTGAGCTCTATAGATATCTAACACAACAAATGCAATAATATGTGAACATGGAAATTTTAAATTAAGACTTTGCAAATATAAAGATCGGATTTTTTGCTGGCTAAAAGAGATTAAAATCTCAATTAACTTTGCCACTAAAGAACTGAAAAAAGAATATGGAATGAAATAGTTCATTGTATTTACTTTTTTTCTTTCAAACTAATGTTTGGCTCTGAGATTAGATTGGTCCTCATGCCTATTGTTTTTTTGCAAGACCTTAAAGACATGGTTTTGTCACGAGCCTAGGGATCTTGGTGTCTGAGCCTTGCATTGGTTGTTCTGATTCGTGTTGTGGATTTTTATGTTGGTTGCAGATTATATGTATTCTATGCTGTTGTTTCTTTTTTTGTTTTATGCTCTTATACTGTATTTAATTATTGGTGGGCATGTACCACTGTAAGCATGAAACAAGTGGACATATGAATTACATACATACATACAGATTCCAGGGTTAAAATTCATTTAATTTCATTTTGAAAAACTTAACTTATACACAAAATCAAGTTAAGGCTTTCCCATCAAACGAATATCAGTGTTCTTCAACATCTTTTTCAATACTGACATCCAAACTAATAAACAAAATAATGGTATATACCAATGCTATTATTATTATTTTAGAAAAAAAGGTAAATATGTCCAATAATTGTGATATTCTTCCATCACACAATATCCAAGCTAAATAAAACTTATTTTAGTTTGGGATGGTAGTTCTGGATTTAGTTTTTCATATTCAAAACCTATGGTTAGGACACAGAGAAGTACATTTGGATTCAACACAGAGGCTCATGATGTAAGTGACAGAACAGATGTTCAGCTGCCAACAGTGATTTTCTAAGGGAGAAGGATAAATCTAGAAACTTAAATACTGTTCAGAGAAGCTTTATTCTTCTAACAGGGCTGTAGTCTAAGACATCCTCTTCTTTTTAAGAATCAACTATTCATAATATAATTATAAATATAGGATAGCTGAATATCACCTCTTCAGGGCAACCACTATCTACCCAATCTTGACGATGACGATCAAAGCCACTGGAACACCTTAAAAAATAAAAAAGAGATTAAAATCAATCAGATGCCAGTGAAATATGGATTAGATGGCTAAAGAGGGAGAAAAAGGAGAGAAAGCAACTTCACTTCTAGGCAGCTAAATCTGTATGATTAAGAGGTTATTCACTTCATTTAAAATTATTTTTTGACTAAAAATGATTAATGCTTCCTACAAGAATTAATTTTTATGATTAGATAATTTGGAATGTCATTGCTTTTTGCTCTGGATAGTTAATAACTTCATCGCACTTCATAGCAAATTAAGAATCGATCCCCAATCTGTGGATTTAAAGTAATTTAATTTATTCTCTTCTGTTTTTTTCTTCATTTTCTACATTTAAAATACAGCATCTCCTTCCCATAATTCACCAAGTACATTATAGCCTTTTTTTCATTGTGGTAGATTATCAAAGACACCAAGGCATCCATAAGTGTCTGCAAAAGATATGCCAGGTGTTGAACTCATTCCGAACATTCTCAAAGGCAATTTGAAGGAAATTCTTTGCTTTAAGATTCATTTTTCATTGCTTGTAATAATTTGTCCTAATTAACTAAAATTAATGAAGCTGATTTTTGCAAAATACAATTTATGATGGGTAATGAATATGTTTTAAAAACAGCTGGTACAATTATTCTTCATAACAGTATACTATGACAGAGAAGTTAAAATGTTGGGCTTGGAAGCAACGCCAGATTCAAGTATACTATGAAGGTAAGGATGCTGGATAGCTTTGGGCCAATCATTGTCACTCTCTGAGAAATTGCCCCATACATTTGTTGCTATAGGATAAAGGTGAAGGAGTACCAGGTATGCCGTTTCAAGCTCTTGAAAGAACAGCTGAGTATAAATCTAATCAATAAAATAGGAATTACTATAAAATGAAATTGAAATCCTAGAGTGGCATTATGAATCAATTTATATTTTTAAATTCTGTAAATCAAGCTAAATATATTTCCAAGTTCCAGTAATAAAGATTAAGCCAACAGAATTTTAAACAAGAATTATTTTATAGGTGTGATTTTTTAAATCTTTAAAAGTATTTATTTGTTTTCTTGGTTGCAAATAATTTTCAAGAAACCTGATTCCAACTGAATAGACTATCCCTTTAAAAGCAACCTTCAGAACTTGCATGAGAAAAATGGGGCTTCCAGCTGACGTTGCAGTGAGTTTCGACACGAGGAATGAGTCTCTGCATTCTGGACCCAAATAGCCCTGTAGCAAAAGGGGTGCCCTGCGAGGTCACGGAAAACTGCATCTCTCCTGCCTGACCCAGAGCTTTCTTTCCCTCTCAGCCACGATGAGAAGAGGAAACCCCAAGATGGCTGCCATGAAGCTGAGACAGCCGATGACTACCTAAGATTTGTGCCGGAGTGGATTTCGGTGAATAGTGTGGAACTGGGTGAGAGGATTCTTTTTTATTAAAACTCAACACCAAGATAAAGTTTAGGGGAACGATTAATTCAGAATTATTTATTAAAGCAGTGAATAAATAGTTTGAGAATATTATCAAACTAGAAGGAAAAGAAAGAGAGAGAGAAAAACTTTTTTCTTCTTCAAAAATACAGGAAACTGGGAAGATGTGGAATTGAGAAGGCATTTTAAAATGCTGGAATTACAGATTTAAAAATTAACACTGCTTTTGTATTTGAATTACAATTCAAAATAATTAAAATCAGATCTACCAGTAACAATATGGTTATGAAGAGAGTGAGATAAATATACAAGCTTGGGAATATTTCTTTGAAGGATGGTGAAAATATCTACTGGATTATATTCACCTACCCTAAGATCATTGGAGATTTAAATATGGGAACAAGGGCGCCCAGTGCAGCTGACGGGCGGGCCCTCCTTCCGGGCGGCAGAGCTCTCACCAAGGCAGGGAGCGCCTCCCCGCTGGACCCTCCACTCATCCTGCCAGGGCCGCGCCAGAGCCATGAGGACTGGGCAGAGCCAGGAAACCACCGCGGCTTGCTTTCCAGGCTCTGCCCAGCCCGTACGGCTCCGGCGCGGCCCTGGTGGGATGAGCGGAGGTTTTTAAAATAATTTGTTTTACCTTCGAAGTCAAAGGGAAGGCGGCGACAGGAGCGCCTGAAGCCAAGTGTCTCCTCAGGGCTCTGGTTGCAGGGAGGAGCCCTGACTGGCCGCACGTGGCTGCGCCAAATGCTGTGGCGTTGCTCTAACGCCGCGGCAGCAAGGGAGAAGGGAAAGCAACGGTGGCGGAAGGTCTCCCAAACATCCAAGCTGTCACCGCCCACCTACCTGAGGATGCAAGGGGGGGGAATTAAGTCACCCCGAAAAGACAGCCTAGCCGTTTTTTCGGAGGTCAAAAAAAAATAAGGCCTGGCCTTATTATGTGAGAAACATGGTAATATTATTTTTATTTGTACCAAAATGTATGGCACCCAGGTGTCACACTGTTCACACATTGATTTGTATATATGTAATATAAAATAAAAAAACTCGCCCCTCCACCACAAAAAAGAATTTGCATGAGAAAAATGAAATAACTGTGTAAATAGCAATAGGATGTGTGTGTGTCTGTGTGCATATACTGAGTTTAAAAGCATAATTTACACAGTTTTAGGCTAGCAGATGCAAGTTGCACATTGAATAAACTGGCGTCTTTCAGAAGGCTGGTCCACAGCATTGACATCTTAACTGAGTAGGTTCTATCTCCTTTATCCATACCACACACTTCGTCTATTCAGAAGGCTACCTTAAGATATTAAATATATAATAAGCTTGGCTGGGAGCTACCTCGTACTGACACAAAAAGATCAGTGGTACACATGGAGAAATAAATGGTGGCTTGCATATTCAGCTATTGATTTGCTCAGCTTTCAAGGCCTACCGGAAAAGCTTGGATTCATTCTATAATTCAGAGAATGCACAAAAAGGAAGTTAAACATGTGGATGACAGAAAAGACACTAGACTAATTTTGCAATATTGAAAATGGATCTTTTTAAATTAAATTTTTATTCTTTAAGAAACAAAAATCTCATTCCCATTAACAGTTATTGTGTCATTGTATATACATGTTTCCTGTTTTGTGACTATACATTATTTTTATCCTTATTCTTCACCCATTCATAATGCCTCTTCCATGTTGCACAGTATTCTCGATCCTCTTTGCCTTTCAGTTCCATAGTGAATTTTTCTAGTTCAGCACAGTCCATTATTTTTTGAATCAGAACTTCATCTGGTGGTATTTTATCACTCTTCCAATTTTGTGCTAATGTGATTCTTGCTGCCGTTAAGATGTGTACAATAAGGTATCTTTTATCTTTACTCAAATTCCCTTTGATCATACCTAATAAAAAAGTTTCGGGTTCCAATGGATCTTTATTTACTCTTGTCTCCTGTTCCATCCACAAAAACTGAACTTCCTACTGAAGCAGCTAATCTTTGTTTCTTAACTGCATGGCTCAACTGTGTGAGAGGAACAGAAAAAAAATGCTTTGCAAGAATAAGTTGAAGTAGATCAGTGGTTGCCAACCAGTGGGCTGCATCCCACTGGTGGTCCGTAAGAAAATTTTGGTGGTCCGCAGAGAAATATCACCCCTAGACCACCTCGCAAAGCAATTAACTCAGTCTGCACAGGAACACAAGGCTGCGCTGCCCACATGGCTGGCCCACGGGAACACAAGGCTTGCATCGGAACAAGAGGTAGTGAGGGGAGGGAGGAAAGAGTGGAGTGGGGGGGAACTTGCCTGGCTGCCGAGCTGCTTTTTTCCGTTTCTTTCTTCTTCTAAGCAGGTTAGGAATGTGGATGTGTTGGAGGGTGTGTATGTATGTGTGAAGAATCTTTGTGTTAGATCGGATTTCTTTCTCCCACTCTCAAATGGAGCTGAAAAACAGGAATGTGGCTGCTTGGAGGATGTGTGAGGGATCTGTGTTAGATTGGATTTCTCTCCCCCCCCCCCCCGAAGCTCAAAAGCAGGAATGTGGCTGCTTTGGAGGACGTGGGATGTGTGAGGGATCTCTCTCTCTCTCTTTCTCTCTCTCTCTCTCTCTCTGTGTGTGTGTGTGTGTGTGTGAGAGAGAGAGAGTTAAAACAGATCTCTCCCTCCCTCCCTCCTACCAACGTCAGCAAGCCACCGTCAGTCAAAATTCATATTAGTGGTCCCCAGGATTTAAAATTATGAGTTTGGTGTCTCTGAGGTCCAAAAGGTTGGTGACCCCTGAAGTAGATGACCCCAAAGAAGGTAATGGTTTTAGGAAACCTGCTTGTTTAACATTCACTGTTTATGCACTGATGGGTCTAAATAGATCTTTGAAATGCTGCTTTAGAGAAGCAAGATGGCTTTGAAGGTATCCAAATGCAGGTATCTGCAAAATGGTTCCAAGGCATATGTCACAGACCCATCAGTCACGGAGCATTTAGTCATTCTTGCATCTCCAATTTATGATTCCACAAGCTATCATTACAATGCATTTTCTACTTAGAACAGAACATTTAATAAGCCTTTCCATTTACTGGCACAGTGATAATTCCCCATTGCCATGAAAACACCATGGCAGATTTGATTAGTGATGCCACTTGTACCATCTGTCAACATAGCTGCTTTATAACAATTTCATTCTCAAAGGATGACCAAGTTTGCTCCTAGTAAAGCAATTAACAGACCACATTCTAGGATATGAGAAAAGAACCTTTTTTGAGATGAACAGAAAATCCTCTGCTTTTCTGTTTATAGGGAACACAGAAAATGTAATTTTGGAATTCGCAGTGGGATGCAAGAAATGTTTACAGACTGTGATAGTTTGATTTGGCTAGTGGCTCTTAGTGGAGCACTGCAGGGAACAGAGTTGATGTCTTCCAGAATGGTGAATGTGAGAGACAAAATGAAGTTGTAAATAATCCTTGTAGGGGTTATTTGTTCCTATTCACATTACAAAGAAAAGAGCTGGGTGTCTTTATTTACTAAACTACCTAAAAGTTCTTGCCTTCCAGTTTTAGAGAGAGCAGAAGAGACATGTCAACAAATG